GTGTCTACTCTTGATGTGGAGGAGAGAGCGTTCAGTGCTCACATTAGTGAGTCGAGCGACAGAAAGATAGATGGCGGATAAAAAAAACAAGAGGAAAACATCTGCGGAACAAAAGAAGGCTTATGGCAATAAGGCAAGAAGTAGGACCCGTGTAAATATCGGATCAGCTTTCCAGCGCTGGAGAGAACTCAAGGAGCGGAAGGCCTGCCATCGGACGCCGAAGTTGCTTTGTTTCTTCTTTATAGGTGAGTAATACCGTCTGCGCCGCAACAGTTAAAGTCTGTCTAGTAGGGGTGCAACAGTTCAACTTACTCACGGTTCGGTTTGTATCGCGGTTTTAGAGTCACGGTTTTGGTACGGTTCGGTATGTGCTATGTAGTGTTGTCACGGTACCAAAATTTCAGTATTCGGTACCAATACCAGTGAAAATCCACAGTTCTCGGTACCAATTTCAATACCAAAGCAAAACACATGTTTAGGGAAAAATAAAGAAAAGAACACATAATCGAACTACAAGCAACAGCACAAATAAATACAATAGAGCAAAAATACAAATAAAATAAACAGTGATTTTCAGGTTTTTTAGGTAGGTCTAACATTAGTTTTTAGGTACAGAAATTGAATAAAGTAATCAAATGTAAAATAACATTGGATATTTGACTGTATAAATTAAAGATTAATCCTTATTAAAGTTACAAAAGTTATTCAATCAAGAGCAGTGAGTGATTCCCATGTTGTTGCTGTTTGATTAACATTAAGAAAGTGCTGTCACTTTAAGAGAATGCACTGATCCAGTGCACTGATACTGTATGTTCAGCCGACTATGTCTGCTAGGATACTCACCAAGATGGGCATTTTGACATAATTTTTGTGTGAATTTGTCCATTCGAGCACAATACCTCAAAGAGAGCTTAATATTTGCGCACGTTCTGAGATGCGGGTTCTTGCGTTTCGGATGAGCGCACACACAGATCTTCTCACTGCGCGCGAGTTTGCGTCTTCTGGCTCTTTAATATTTAAACTGGCAAAGCTTAAATGAGTTTAGTCTAAACACAGATAGCAGCGTGTGCTGTTCAGGTCTGCGCGTGATGACGGCATAAATGACAGTTATTCCAACATACAGCACTCGCATTGAATAAAGAGTGACTGGTTTGTCCACATTGTTTTTTTTTCTCTCATCGCTCTTGTTGTAATTTATTGGGAAGCCAGAATTTGTATCCATCAACAGAAACATGCATTAGCCGAACTCTAACAAATAGGGATGTAACGATTAACCGCGAGCCGGTTGAAAATCGATTCAAACATGTGACGATTCAAATCGGTTGAGATGCTAAACAAATCGCGATTCATTTAGGGGTAGGAGTTAATATGAATGTATGTCTGAGGGGAACTTACTGTCTTTAGAAAAGTTTAGATGGTATTTTTTCTTTTCATCTTGCCTCTGTATAATGCATATTAAAGTTCATAAGTGCAGCGCTCCTTTGTTTACAGCAGAGAGTGAATCTGCGTCTCATTCAGCTCCGCTGTTTCATGCAGATATTTTTATGTATAGTTTCACAAAACTGAAGTCAAAGTTGAAATTATACAATCTAATTTAGATTAAAAACTGCTCATGTTGCATGTATGCAGTGTCTTTGTTTGGATCATAATTAAAATGCAGTGGTTGCCTTTCATTTTAAATGGAAAGAGCACAGACAAAGCCTTATTTTGTTTATATGAAGAGATTTCTTTTATTTGTGTTACTTATGTACTTGATTTGGGGCTTGTTTTAAAATTAAAATTTAGTTTTATTATTTACATTTACATTATATTTAAATTTTGTCATTTAACAGACGCTTTTATCCAAAGCGACTTACAAATGAGGACAATAGAAGCAATCAAAACCAACAAAAGAGCAATAATATTCAAGTGCTATATTAGTATATTATTATAGTTATATTTCAATTTCACAAAGAAATGTGCAGCATTTTGTCCAAGCAATAATAAAAGGACACATTTAATTTATAATTTGTCTTAAATCTCATTTTGTAAAAAAAATAAAATAATCGAATCGTGAAATCAAAATCGTGAATCGAATCGTGAGTTGAGTGATTCACTCAGTAGAGTTAGTAGTTACATCCCTACTAACAAACCATATTACAGATGCATTGTCAGATTTAAGTTGAACCAAACATATATTAGCCGAACCCTGTTTGTTTTACGTGTTATTTATAGCAAACCATATTACAGATGCGTTGTCAGATTTAAGTTAAACCGCGGTCCTAGTGCATGCCGAACCGTGTGTGGAGAATGGTACGGTTCGATTTTTTACCGAGAACCGTTGCACCCCTACTGTCTAGTACACTGGACAAAACAAAGCAACCGTTGAAAATCATTTGAAAATTGTTTTCAATACGTCATAAATAGAACGCAGCAGCAGTTTTCTGTCATGGATTTGTCATGTCACGCTGCATCCAGTGTGTCAGCCACGCCTACCTAAAACTGCTCGTTCTAACACGCCCCCACATGTCTACGCAGACATTCCCACTATGTGGGAAGATTTGCATAACGCCGCCCAAATGTTCACACAAAGAAAGAAGGCATAACTTTTATTCTCGCTGTAGTATTGTTGTTGCCGCCGCCATGTCGTGAAGGCGCTGTGTGTTTCGTTGTGAAAGCGAAACTACTTTGTTTGGCCTTCCAAAAATGGACACGACTAGAAATCAGTGGTTAAGTTGTATTTACAACACTGTTCCAGAACACTTCAACCCAAATATTCAGATGTGTGCAGCACATTTTATGGAGAACCGTTTCCTGATCCTGGTAGAGTAGACTACAATGCCGGCTGTTCTGACTCACGGCCATAATGTAAGCAATGTTAAAAACTTGATTTTCACCACAGGGGTCTTTAAAACAAACAACTGTGTTTACGAGGATACTTGCAAAGATGGGCATTTTGTGAAGTGAAGTGACATGACGGCCAAGTATGGTAAACCATACTCAGAACTGCATTTCAATTGCAGTAAATGCAATCTGCATTTAACCACACACACCATAAGTGTGTGTATATGACCGCTTAAGGTGCCCCAAAAAAAAAAAACTAATTTCAGTATTCATGCACTGTGCGAGAAGCTGCTTTGTGTGTGCATATTTCAGATGTGTGCATTCAGACTGTCTCCCAGTCAGTGTGCACATATGTGACCATGGAGCACAAAACCAGTCTTAAGTCGCTGGGGTATATTTGTAGCAATAGCCAAAAATACATTGTATGGGTCAATAATTTAGACAACTTTAAAGGCGATTTTCCTCAAGGTTTAGATTTTTTTGCACCCTCAGATTCCAGATTTTCAAATAGTTGTATCTCAGCCAAATATTGTCCTATCCTAACAAGCCATACATCAATGGAAAGCTTATTTATTCAGCTTTCAGATGATGTATAAATCTCAATTTCGAAAAATTGACCATGACTGGTTTTGTGCTCCAGGGTCACATATAACAAAATTTTCACTGCTTATTGGACTTGAGCGGTTTAAAATCACTTGTTTTTAAACCGCAGCACTTAAATACACATTCAATTGACAAGCTTTTGTGACGACACAGCACGGAAAACATCACATAAGCGTAACCTAGATTTGCTCTATGTTAATCAATGTTAAAATTCTAATAATAATAATAATAATAATAATAATAATAATAATAAACAATTCCACATCATCTGCAGGGTGCATCTACTGCTGAAGAAATATAAGTGCCAATGGCAGGGATTTCCACCTCAGCTGAAACTAAGACAGCGTTAAATGGCATTAGGAGTTGTTTACTCACATCCAAACACATTTTTGTGTATGTATGTGTGTGTTAGACATACAAGACATAGACTACTGAAACTAAGTCATATCCAAGTGTGGTTTTCACTGTAAACACTGTCACGCTGACACCCCTTTAAGTGTCACTATCTGCTCGAGCCTCCCCAGCATTTCCTTAGACTTGGGTTGTATAAACTTGGGGTGGTCTGTGGGATGCAAAGTGAGCAGTACAGGAGATGAGAATCTGGAGTAAGCAACAAACATGCTGACCCACACTCTCTAGACTCTAAAAGCAAAACTTTTCTGCAGTCTATTTTATGGTAAATAAGCCTTTTGGAAACTTCCTGAACCTATCATCATCTCACATCACAATTATTAACAACGTCATGGTCAATACCAGAGTATAAAAGCATACTAGGTAACGTTAAGAGTTGTTGTTTTTTTCTCCGAAACTCCGCCCCCTGACACCCTCACATTCCCGGAATTCCTGCACAGTACTCACCTGGCCCTACTCACTAACAACCTCCACTCACTTTCAGCGAACACATATTTATACCCCCTAACACGTGCTCTCTGACTGAGAAATATAAAACAGTCGAGTAACATCTAGCACAGGCTACACAGAATGGACTCTCTTAGTAAAAGGTCTGCGTGTGGGCTAGCTGAGATAGTCACAGGAGACAAATTGAGATAGCATTAACTTAATATCCTCCTCCTCATGCACTGACCTCTCTCTCCAACCGTAAAAAAAAAAATAATAATAAAAATAATATTATAAAACTGTAGTTAAAACTCGTACTTCAGTCGCCTAACTTCACAATCAGCAGCCAGTTCAAACTTTCAACGTTAAATAAAGTCGCACTTTAGGTTGTCAAAATACTAACAATTCGTTCTCATTACCTTTCGGAGCACTTGTTTAATCCAGCCGATATGTTTAAATATCAAAGCTCATCGAAAAGAAATATTCTCCCCTGTCGGAGCTCATTTGTTAGTTCCGTGAATCCACTGCCATACTCCAGGAGCTCCGGAAAACCCTCCTCTCAGCGTGCGCTGCACTCCGGACAAGCGGAATACGACGCGTGACGTCAGCGCACCATGGAATTTAAGCCCCGCACGCCATTGGCCCACACCGGGTAGAGCGGAAGCTTGGTTGGTCGGCTGTGTTGTTGAATTGGCCAATAGGAGAGTAGAAAACAGTTTCCATGGTTACATTGGATACACAAGTAATAGCCTTTGCAACAGGACCATAAAGGTAATAATGTATTTAATATGCTTTTATTCTGTGTTAGGGCTTAGGTGTGCTGTTTGAAGTTATTTTCTTCCTTTTAATAGTTGCCAGTAGTTTGTCAAAATCAAAGAAAGATTTTAAGATGTTTAAAAAGAAAAACTTTAGATTTACATAATTTCTATAAATGAATTCGGTAAATTAATGAATTTACACCGCAGATAATACTGTCAGCTGGAAACTGTGTGTGTAAAGCTATTCAGAGAAAATCTCACTGTGAATGATATAGTTAATTTGGACGATCGAAACGGATACAAACAATCATGGCCTCTTCTGTCTTGTTTGCAGCTGTTCTCTTCAAATAATCACGTCTTGTCAAGTCCAGTTAAGTCACATTTATTTACACAGCGTTTTATTCAATACAGATTGTTTCAAAACTTTAATCCATTAAGAAACGACTTGCATTTTAGCTGTAAAGCAGCCACTATAGTGCCATTATTTAGCTGTGTTGTTTCAATTTAGTGACTCAATGACTCAATATTACAAAGGCCATTAATTATAAAACAAGTTTATTCAGCTAAAATCTGTTCAATGTTGATTCAATCCAGTTTAGTAAGTGTCGATGTTGCAAAGTTAGTGTTATTATCCAGCTCAGTTCAGTTCAAATTTTGTTTTCATCCGATAATGCCAGTGCAGTTAAATCAAAAATATTACTAAATATTAATTGTATTTTAAACCTGTCATATACATTGCATTGATTTTACATTTATACAAAGTCCTATATTTGTAATCATATTTATATTTTATTCTCCTGAATTATTCACAGATGAGTAGCAGAGATTTTTGTTCTTTCGTCACAAACCACTGCTCTGAAGACACAGGTAGGCAGCTGTGATCAGACTTTAACATTTTATCCAGAGAAATGATCTGTCGGCACCAGCTGTCATTCCTTCCCCTCAGCAACTTTGACCTGCAGAAAAATGTGTATCTATAAGGGTTAACACTGCCTGCAGTGTCACTTCTGTACAGACATTCTTGAATTCTACAGTTTTTCAGAGTTATTCTGTGCACAGACTATAAATATAAAATCAGATAAAAACTATGTATTGACTGACATTTAATTGACTACATTTAACCATGTATTAATTACATGCACAGTCCTTTGATTTACCTTTTTTTTTTTTTAATCACCTAGAAAAGTTGCCTCAAAGAATACAAGTGGGTCTGGGACACTCAAAATGTAAAGTGGTCCAATATGAGCAACTACGGGACATGCTAGAGGCCAAACGCCTTTCCTCTCAGCTCTCTCAACAGAAGGTAATGCATGTGTTGGATACCCTTTGTCATGTCTTTGTTACAGTGCAGAAAAAAGTATTTTGGCTAGTTTTGCAGGCGGAGTCCATTTTCTTTGATCATTTATCTCCTATAAAACACTAAATTATTTAGATTTCGTGGATTGCGATGGTCCAGCAATCATCCTTAATGAGAGTTCCTAACCTTTTTGGAGTCAGCAAAGGTGCTGTGAACTTTAAAAGTAACTTAAAATGAAAGATTTTAAAATACTCAGTCATTTTTGGTCATACAGATAGGAGTAAGGCATCATTCAAAACTGTGAAGTGTCTACTTTTATTTGTGTACAGTCACAATAACAACAGAATGTTTTACTTTTGTAAAATAACTAAACTGGACGTGCTTTGGATGTGCTTCGTGAACAACTGTCTGAAAGTGTCACAAAAATTAACCAAAACTTAGCATATACTTGCCTCACAGATATAAATATGTCTATAGAATGTTTGGCATGTCTACTTAGAAATGTCTGCATACCTGGGGTTTCAAAGACCACCTTTCACTAATTTGCTGGTTTTCAAACTTTTTTGGGCCAGGGCCCCCTATCAATTATCCAGTCCATTACCACCCCCACCAAAAAAGTAGCTTCTGTGTTGCTGTTGTTATTATTATTATTATTATTATTATTTTAATTATAATTTATGGTCTTATTTTCTTCTTCTTATATAATTTAAGTGTTTTGTGTGTAGTGTAGACACAGAGTTAGAATGTTGCAAACCGTATTCTTTTGCAAGTAGTTACTGGAGGGCAGTATTGCACCCAATGAGAAATGCTGCACTAAAGCTTTATTAACGATGCAATAAATAAATAAAGTAAATAGATATAAAGTATATATTCATTGGAACAAAGACATTTTCTGAAATGTATTGTATCTAAGTTATCTACCTTCATATTTACTTGTACCTGTAATATAATTCTTTTATAAGGTTGCTTGGCGAGACCTGTCTCCAAAAAATTGTCCATTCTTCCAAGCTTACATTCGTTTGACACTGAAACATAAAAAAAAACATAAACACCTATTCGAAAACAGTTTATGTGATGCAGGGAGCATACACAATTTTTACTGCATCATTTTAACTCAAAACAGGAAACTGATGAATATTCATGTATGCTCCACCCAGTGCAATAACTCAGACATGAATATTTCAGAACAGAATAGTCAGTTTTTAGTACATTGTTGTAAGTATACCCTAAATTTCAGCGATTGAAGAACAAATTTATTTACTCACATGTGTTATGTATTATCATCTCTCACAGACAGCATGTTGAAGCCGCTCAGATTACTATTTTCTTCTTTTCAGAAATTGATAATGTAGTCAAAACATTCGGCATTGTGGTTTTTCCAGTAAATGCATGTACTCCATAGACTTCTGTTCTCGTAAATACCACTGTGTATTGTGCATGTTATTATTTGACAGACATTTATGTTGGGATATTCAATGATGTGGATTTTAAAATAGATCGTAAGGTAATAATTATTTATTTCTTAGCCGGCAAATATTCAGTGAGGTGACTGATGTCCATGAGTGTGTTATTTAGACATTTTTAATTCTATTATTCCAACGGACAGCCAGCCAAAGTTTTTGGGTAATAATAAAACATGCTGGAGACGTTCAAAATGCTGTTTGTGTAGGTCATTATACTTATTTTACAGAATTAAGTTTATTTTTTGGTTTAAATAAATTACATGTTACTTAGAGACTGACATGTTTAGCTTGTTGAAAATGTTACAATCAGCTGATGCAAATTCGCTAACTTTTGAAAATCTTTTTTTTTTCTTTGCACAAAGTTGTTTTTTGTTGTCTTTTATAAAAAAAATATTTTATTTAAACCTTGTAAGGTTTTAAAGGATTACGAAAAAATTCATAATCAAATTACTAAGCAACCATGGAATGGAATAACACAAAATAGGTATAATTTGAAAGCTTAGAGTCTGAATTTGATTAACTCCAAAGTAGTGTTGAGTTATTTAAAAAAAATAAATTCATAATTTACAAAATATGTTTTTTGTGCCATGTACTCTAATATGTCAAAAACTTCATACAGCTGAGATAGTCATGTGTCATATATCATTTGAAAGGTCTCACCGAGTAGAATGAAACAACAAGCATAATTGTTTGGGGCTTTGACTAAACTTGAGCGAGTGTTTGTACAAGAAGTCACCCCCCAGCCCCATATGAAAATAATATATGAATGCAGCATTTATGTCACTTTATTGCTTGCAACTTCAAAAAACATTCTTGTGGAAAAACACACACCTTTATTTAGAGCAGATTCTCCTGATTAAAAAGAGCCCAAACTCACTATAATACGTCATTTATATCTGAAGATATTCCTCATGAATTTATAACACATAAAACTGCAGAGACATGTAGCTTAGCAAAAAAAAAA